ATACAGTTCCAACGAATTACTCTTCCTCGCTTCCAAACACAACTACTGACATATCATCGGTATTAATCAAAGTATGTACGTGTACACATGTAGAAGTCCATACGACTCGAAACACATTGCAAGATGAGCATGAGCATGATATTCCTGCAAAAAACACCCATTTCACCATGTCATTAAAGTTAGATATTTGAACGCCCCACCGCTGGAGAACTGGAGACATCACATTACTAAATAATTAACGTCAGAAAAAGCATTCAGACATTTGATAGACCAATGATGTGGTGTTTTAGCACTAGAGCAATATCACTGGGGACAACAGAAGTGAGCTTCTTACATGGGGAATCGGTGTGACTATCTAATGCTTTATCCCACCGCCATGATCGACCAATGAAATGAATAAGAAGAAGACGGCATTATCCAATGATAAAGCACAAAGTTTTGCGGCATTTGATTCAAACTGGGCATTTAGGTTCTGAACCACGCTGTGAAAAAAAATATCGATTCAAATTTCGAAAACTGAGCAAAGAATATTCTCCTTTTTCTCTAAGATGGCCGAGATTGTACGGCAGCACTGGAAAGTCTCTTCTGTTTCTCATGTTTATCCCATTGATCACGAAGAAGGAGATGGACGGCAATTTTGACTGAATCAGTCTTACAGCATATAACTGTCGCTCAGATCGGCCAGTGTAATTAAGAAAACACATTACCACTGCCACGTTCTCTACCTGGTGAGCGACGTTCCGATTGATCCTCAACTACTAGTATTTACTAGTATTTAGCGAGAGTGAGAACAAGGATCTGATTTATAGTCCAATCCGCTAACACTGTATCATCCTGTGTTTAGTTTGTAATTATTTAATCTTTATTAATTATTAAAATAAATTACTAATAATTAATTATTACTGAAAATGAAATAATTATTTTATGGTTCTACTTATGAGTATTTATAGATTAATACGTCGGCGACACGTTGCAGGATTGCTTATAGCTCTAATTAAATCAGTACAAAAACTGAACGCAGGATGATACAGTGTTAGTGGATTGCATGTTCAATCAGATCTTTGTTTTCATTCCCGCTAACAAAAAGTTGAGGCCAAGTCAGAAAGACCTTTCTTCTGACCAATCGTAGCGACGCAGTACAACCTCGGCCATCTTTAAGACAAAGGAGAATATTCTTTGCTCAGTTTTCGAATTTAAATCGATAATTCTTTCACCTTGATTCGGAATGGAAACTGACCAGTTAGAATAAAATGCCGCTTTGTGCTTTTTCATCGGACAATGTCGACTTCTTGTTATTCATTTCACTGGTCGATCATGTCGGTAGGTTAAAGCATTCGCTGGTCAGACCGAACACTGTGGTTCGATTCCCTACATGGATACCATGTGTGAAGCCCTCTTATGTTGTCCTCGGTGATATTGCTCTAATACTGCTAAAACACCCAACCATTGGTCTATCAAATGTCTATATGGTTGTTCAGACCTAAATTGTAATGTGATGTCTCCAGATCTCCAGTGGTGGGTAGTGCTAAAAAATGCCATTACCATTGTATTGCCACATCTAACTCACTGCTTAACACTTGTTAAGAGATAGAGATGTTTCTTACTGGCCTCAGTGTCAGCGGTCCCGGCCCCACAATGTGACAACAATGTGATATATTGTAGTGCAGTATAAATATATATATATGGGTTTGGGTAAACACGTGTGTAACGAATACTTGACATTTAGATTCTTGTCTCCTTGCACGTGTCTTTTTAAACTCGAATGACATCCGTAACCCAAGGTCTTTTGAAGGGAAGTCTTAAAGGATCCTTTAAAGACATCTCGCTCGGTTGTGTTCCCTAATCTGACGCATGTTGCTTTGTCGTGTGCGAAAGAAATTTGACAGTGTAATAGGGCATATCCAGGTTTCTTTAGGAAGAAAACTCCATTCCTTTCCTGGTATTAAAAACACATGTTCAAGGATAGATTCCAGCACAGCCTGAGCTACAGTTTCGAATCTATAATCTGTTCTGTCCTTGTGTAATAACTGACTACAACTTCATTCTTCATTTCATAGGATAAGGAAAACGTATCCCAACACGACAGCAATTATAAAGTAATTATAATGTAATAAGTGTGTTTGTCTGGATTTGATGTCATGAGGAAGGGTCCGCTGGCAGGACGAATCCCGATTTCTTTTCTTGACGCCTGATTTCCGAGCTTGTGTTTGGCGCAAAACACCACTGTAAACACTGCCACATTAAAATGCATGACGGAATATCTTGGAGCAAGTTTGGCGTTGGTCTTTTGATGGTGCAGGTATCTCACACAGACCTTTTAACTTGTGACGATCGGATAAAAACCTGAATGGTCAACGATACGTCACTGACATCCGTGACAGTGTTCTTGGACCACATTCCGATGACCATCCTCTGAACACTAGACCAGTCTTATTGGTAGGCCACGTCGTAGTCGTCCCGTTGGTGATGTAATTCGTAATGAAGCGGTAGCAACTCAAGCTTGATCTCAGATCTCAATGCCACAAGCATGATTGAGACATTATGGGTTGCAGAATACAGCAGAGATATGCTCCAAAATCATGATGTATTTGGAGCAAGCCCTCCTTCAAGAATAGAACACTAAACGTAAACGTCAACTTCAGCGTCCGATACAGTAAATGAGGGGGAGGGTCTGTGATGCTATTACAGTTGGCGGAACTTACACCGTATATTGACACTGATCCCGGTCATTGCGTGGTCATTGGCAGAATCTTGAAAATGACCTTACTTGTTAAAGTCATGCAAAGTCATGTCTTTTTTTGTCATATTTGATTCCATGAATAAGCTACATTTTGTTCTTCTTTAACATTTCGATTTAATTATTTCGGTTTAATTATTCCTTGTGGGGAGGGTGGTCAGTTTATCCAGATAGTAAGTTCATTTAAGGTAGGGATAAATACTTCTGCTATGGGTATACGTAATATAATGGTAAGATATGGAGTGTTGCAATACTATTTTCCGTGTGTATATGCTGTTATACTTTAGCTGGTAAAAGGTCATTACAATACATCCGCTGCACATACAATTCGAAGAAACTAAATCATATGTAAAGACCCAACAACAAGCTGTCTGCTAAATAGCTGACGCGAAACAAATATTTGCAAGAATGTACGAAACGTGTTTGGTTAGTTGACATCGAGAATAAGGGGCATGAAATTCGTATCTATTATTTATCAAGTCCAGGCCTGGTGCTTATCCATTGTCGCGACCATCTAATGAAATCAAATAAGTTCAACCTCTGTCTTGCCTCAAAGCCTAATGAAATCTGTTCTGTGTATGCTATTCACAATAAGCCTATTGCCTAACGTCTTGTGGTTGCAGTACGAAGGAACATACCATTGAACTTGCAAACACTGTGGAACAGAGTGCCGTTTAAAGGTGTTTGACTGATCAGTGTGTTACATGATACGCGCTGCTTAAACGAAAACTAAAATCCAACATTTCATACACGTGTAACTCATTGATGGTAAGTGTTCGCTTCATTTCAGTAGAATAACTACGTATTGCCCCAATCCTGCATTCACTATAACGTTAAAGAGATACGTTATTATTTGTATCGTCATTGTCGTTTGCAATCTACTCGGGGATATGTAGGAGGATTAATTGTCGTGAGGTAGGAAGGCGATTCATACATATTTCTCCAATCTGCAATAGAAGTCTTTGATAAAAAACACATCAAACGGGAACTTCAACACAAGCTACTTTGGTTATTTCCTGTGTTTTGTTTTCCGAAGGAAATAACAAGGTTCACGTTTTTGAAGAAATTGAATTGGTTAATTAAAAAAAGTTCAATTGGAGGTATTCTTGTTGTTATAATAACTATGCCTAAACGCATCTTCAGAAACATCTCCATGTAATGGATGGACCGTTGTAGCCTGACAATAAGGGCACCAGATGGTCGCGACACCATACACACGGTGAAATTCACGTACCCTAAAAACTTCATTCGTCATTGACATCACGACAGCCTCATATATTATTTGTATATGCAAGGAGAGTACATCTGGCATAACTAAATTACAGCCGCGAGGTCTTGATTCACAGACCTTCATGGACATTATCTTCCTGTTCATTTTATCCTAGATGATGAGCAAATCGCAAGCAATGCAAAAATACTAAACTAAAGAATTGTCCCAACCACAACTTTACGCTACCTGAGTGGCGAGTATTTACTTCTTGCGAGCGCCAGTCATAGATAAGCTACTGTTTGACACCTTTAATAGGATCAGTGCCCGTGATACTAGTGCCCCGTGACAATTCCACACATTCTTTATTTAAGAGTTCCACGAATACATGTACGTGTGCATGTAAATGTGCAGTGGCTGTAAGATCATAACATGTTTGAATTAGGTTTATATGAACTTTGAATCGCCAGGTGACATTGATTGTAACAGAAATCATAAGAGCTGACAATTTATGGATATCAGCTTCTTTCTAATGACGGACAGGACGTTTAAGGAGTATATTCTTATTCCGTCATCAGGTGAATGGAAACCTAGGGAAGAGACAGATATATAGGTACCCTTGGAACAACAACAGCGATACGTTAACAATGGACAGGGCAGTTAAAAAGGGAAGCAAGTAGATAATTGGCGCTGACTGGTTATCATAATGAACAAATAGAAGCCAATAATAATTTAATGCTTTTAATAATCATTGATTTAAGAAATATTTAAGGGGGATAATAGCAATGGCAGGTGATAGCTAGTAGAGATACTTAAGTTGAAAGTCAGATATGTTCCCTGGTCACGGTTGATTTGCTGGTTGGGATCTCCTGATGACTTATGGCTGCTTGTAGCTTCCTTTAACGTCAGTTGTTGGAGGAGAGGACTTTAGTGGCTTTCCACGTGGTGGCGTGGTCTTGCTTCTTGCTGGAGTGTATGTGAATGGTTGACTTCGATACATTTTCACCTTTTGTGTGTATCACTTCTAAAACAGAATCGTGTTATACAGATCATGTTCACTTGTTTGGTCTTTGCATGATGACTTTAGTAGACAAAACCCGATTAGTTCCCTGTCATTGTAAGCTAGGATAAAGGATGAATCTACAGAAGACACGAGCCATGGCTTGCTTCGTAGCCATCCACCACTCAAACTACATATGAAACCAATGTAGCTTTCGGAAGAAGTTCCTTATTCACTCCCTACTCGCATGTGTATCAAACATATTTTGTTTCAATCAACAAACCTCACACGAATATTAACATAACGCTGACTCATAAACATAAGCTGAGTGCATTCATAAAATATGTTCATTAAAATCAGATTTTGTTGACAGGTGCATCGGTACAAATGAAAAGTCAAACTACAGCATGTTTTGATAGAATTGTATGCATGTGTCATATTGCATCCTTGCTCTGAGTAAAACCCTGGATTCTATAGCATTCTGCTAGTTTCTTTCACCAGTGTAAAGACGTTTAAGAAGCTGGTCAACCTTGGCTCTCCATCTTCATGAAGATTACACGCCGTTATGCAAGTACAATGCAGTGCAAAGCGACATAACATCCAACTCTAAGACGGAAAGCGACATGAGAGACATGTTACCTCATTCTGTTCAACAGCTTTAAATTGTGCTGTGCAGTGGACTAAACCCTGTCCTATTTTAGCTATTTTATGTTGTGTTCCATCTGTTCACACTGAATGTGTATATATCATATGTGTCTGCTGTAAAGAGAAAGGGCATCGGTGTCAATTGTATGGTACAAAATTAACTGTATTAAGTTGTTTTTCCCTTGAACCTCATGACATGGCAATAAATGAATGTAGGTCATGGACATTTTGTTATCTTGGGCCGGGATGCAACCAAAACTGAATGCATAATGTTTGTCCACTGCACAGAGCCTAATTATAGAACTTGTCTACAGCAAACAACTGTTAGTCTACCAATTCGGCAACCTTCATTGATTCACCTGTGATGCGAAGGTAATCTCCTGTAGTTCGGTGATGTCTGGTTCACGCAGGATGAGTTATTCGCCTAATAAAACCATCTGTTTCCAAATGAGTGGTGCACTGGGAGTACTGGATTATGCTAATACTTGACATGGAATCACGCTTGGCTTTTCAAAAAAATATATTGATGCAGAATTATAAACTATGCAAAGTGATTTATTCCGTCTCCCACAAGCATAATTATGAATCAACTTACCATCAGATCTGACCAATGCGGGTTCCATAGGATTTTAAACGACTTACACTTAACAACGATAATAGTACACAGCGTCTCGATCTGGACTATATATCTGGAATAGGTCAAATCGCTCACTCTCGAGTCAAACTAGGATGTAGCGAGTTAAATACCTATAAGTGCGACAGGCACATCTCTGCAGTTCCTTCTTCCTGCGGTTTGATACGCGAGGATACCGCTCAATACTGCTTCATATGTCCAAATTATAGCACCATGAGATCAAATACATACTTCTTTACAATGGGATTTACCCTAACCCCTGCACAATATGGAAATCCCTTGGAATTCGCTATTGTTAGTCAACATGTTTTGGCATCCTATTAATCTATTATCTTCTATCTATTTACACTTTGACTGTGCTTTGTTTCATTTGTGAATTGTGAGTAATTGGAGCGGTATTTATATACGTCGCAAAAGGCTTGTTTATCCACATACAAGTTACGAAAACAATATGCTCAAACTAAAATATGTACATCTGTACATGAAATCAATATGTATACGTACGCATAATTGTGACACTTTGTTATCAGTTACAAATGCAGCACATATAAACGTCTACCATGACAATGGAACTGTCTTTGTGTCGGTACCGTAAGGTATCAATTCGTTTTTGTATCTGATAAACAACTTTCCTGTAAAGCCATATATATCGACAGCTAACTACAATGCACTAATGCCTACATGTGTATGCGTATGCGTCTCGATACCCAATTATGATGGCATACGTCCGATTTAAGAACACCAACATGACCCTGGTCATACATGTGAAATGACTGCTTCTACACACAGGAACTCACCCTGGTCATACGTTACAATGACTGCTACCAGACACAGGAACTGATCCTGACAAACCAAATCAATGCTACCAGACACGGGAAGTAGCCAGTAAGTGTGACTGGATTTGTTCTTCCGGTTAACAGTACAGCTTGATGTGGTTTGTAAAATAAATAAAGTGTTTTGAGATGGTAAATGCTACAGGAATTCAGTTAACAGTAACCTTGTGTGTGGAATGATGTCTAGATGATGTATATATATAGGCTAAAGGTTAACCGTGGATACATTAACATTGTAGGGCTATTGCGCCCTTACAGCAACCAGAATCAAAGAACACAAGACTTCTGACAGTTTGATGTTGAAGAATATGTTTCACTGTGCTGACGTTATATAAGTCAGCATTGCGAGACCAGAACGAACTGTCAGTGACACAACTCTCGGACCTTAATATGTATTAATGTATGGATTCCATACGCATGTATCGTTTAGCAAATAGATTTTTATAAAAACCCACATCGAACGTTGTTTATGCAAATTCCTGGAGACGGTTCTGTGTCATAAACTTGTCCTTTTGGGACACCTCACACTTCAGCCTCTTCAAATTATGTAATTTTTATATGTCTGTGTATGCATTTGTTTTGTAATACTCGATCGTAACGTGAACAAGATACGTTCTAGGACATTTAACTTGATGCGTTTGGTTCCTTTCTTGTCATATTTATGTTTCGTAAGAGGTATTTATGAAATTCTGTACCAAATACTTTCAATTCCCGTGAAATGACAACCCTGTGTGCAATATTCTCAGGGATACTATTCAGACACAGCAAACATGTACCTAAACCAATGTTTTAGGAACATTTAACTCGTGAACAGACATTGTGCTTATCACTATACCAAGCAGCAGCAAATTTCGTAGTTAAAGTCAGGTAGGATTGAAAAAAACCTGCAGAATATGTCATCTTTCCTTCCTGACTGACATGCTTTCTCGCTATAACGTTCTTTGCAGTGAAGCATTGAAAAAAGCTTTGCTTAACATTCTCTCTGGAAATAGCTTGAGCATTAAAAAACCCACAATTTGGACCTATATAGTTCTCTTTGGAACACGAATAACGAGCTGTTTCCTTTGCTCCAGCGAATCAGGCGTGGCGATGTTAGCGCAGTATGTAGCCATCATGTCGTGGTGTTGTGACCCTGGGGGCAGCCACTGCGTTGGTTCTGTTGTTGGTGCCGATAATTCAGACGTGGTATAGTGCTCAGAGGGCAATTGAGGCATTTAAGATGACGTAAGATCGTTGCTCGGCGTTGAGACGTCGAATCAGACTGGTTAGCGTTCAGTCATACGTGGAGCCACCATGAGGTGCACGTGCATTTCAAGTTTGCAACCATCTCCAACGACACTAGATATGGCAGCGCTTTTGGAAACATTTAAAGACAAAATCACCAGGTAATTGGCTGAATTGCAATACCAATTGTTCAATATGATGCTATATTCCCGGGGGAGGCTTCAAATTACACGTTTGGGCCATGAACATCTGACCAAGAATTTTACTTATCGTTGTAAGAGTTAACAATATATATGTTCTATATTTCTAATTCAAGTGATTAGAATCTGTCCCATTTCATCTCTTTGTGTTTTTTTGTCAGTTGAGTGAGAGGTTAATATGAACTCTACTCAGGTTGTCAGGTTATTCTTCTCAGTTTTAAATTAGGAGAAAAAAACCTCATTACACTCAATTAGAGTGAGTGAGTGAGTTTAGTTTTACGCAACTTTTAGCAATATTCCAGCAGTCGCTCAGTTAGATGTAGTCATCAATCGAATACGCATTTATGCCACTGCGATGGTACCAGTATGTTCCTTCAGTCAAGGAGCCAGGCTGTAATATCTGTAGGACAGATGCACAGTCTGCGAATAGGAAAGTGGGTTTGGAATACACTACTACTGTACTAATTTAGCAGGCAGTGCATTTGAAAATATTGAAAATATCCAGTATGGATAGACGATGTATGTCACTGTGCTAGCTGTGTGGTTATTCCAATAATACACCTGCCAATGCATTTGGCATTGCATCAAAACATCATCCTCGCAATTGCATGCCCAAAACGTGCTTCCTGGACTTCTTTTACCTCGTACGTTATCCCTGACCATAGCTCCTTCCTCGAAGAAGAGATAAACACACTTTGTCTTTTCACTGCAAGTTTACATTCATTTCGTGAGAGTAGTGTCATATGAGGTTTCATTTCTCATCTTTGATTTAATGTACAAGAGAAACACCTATGAAGACATACATATATGGTATACAGTCATCGAGACAAGACGAAAACGTTTCCAGACCTGCGAAAATAACGATTCAGGATTACTAACTCCTTTTTCAAAAGTTTGTAATTGGCTTCTTGTAAGAAGACACTCCTAGATCGATATATTACCACTTGTCATTCTAGATGATAGCGTTTCTACAGAACGGTTTCTTCTTCTTCTTTAGGGACGATTAATAGTAATGTCATCTGAGCCATTACCTAGAAAGAAAACCAATCGGCATAACGTAAAGGGCAGCTGTACACGAGTAAAACACAACAGAGAAAACCAATTATAATAACGACTAACTGTTTATCCATTGAAGAAGAATATAATGTTCTTCTTGTGTAACCAATATATGTACCATTATGATAGGCGTATTGAACTTCGTATTGTCATAAAAGCGGCGTAAAACCCAACTCACTCACCTTTATTGTCATACTGGGATTTTCATCAATTTGCATTTTTGTTGACACATATCGATGTATTTCAGGTATTGTCAGTGTGTATAATTTTGATACACTAATGATAAAAATAGAAGTCTGTCATAAATAATACTTATGACAACTTATACGAAGGTACTGAAAAAGAAAGGCTCTTTCATGTTCGTACTGCATGCTAAATAACATGCTTTTGGTTTGCGATGATTTCTTCTTTGAACGTATATGGATTTCATTACATTTACTTCTTCGATCCCTTGAACTACACCGACATGCGTCTGACAATATTAACGACCACACCAAACATGGCATAATATTATTACAAAAAAAAACATTTGTAAAAACATATAAAGTAGTCTACCCATCTAATTATGAGTGAACAAATATGACTGTTGGAAAATTTATTATGCATGTACACCCCATAGGACGTAAACAGACACTGGGCCATGTGGAATTTATTCACGTATAGACATCTTCTCCTTAATTTCTCCCTCTTTGCACTCAAAATAATTTGCAATGATATGATGGATAGATAGCTTTAGGAACCGAATGCATATGTCTGAGTACATGATCGTCCTCCAAGTTTAATAATACTCTTTTGCTTTGTGATGATTCTTTCTTTGTACATATATGAATTTCATTACATTTACTTCTTGAATCTCTTGAATGACACCTGCATGCGTCTGACAGAATCGAACGACTACATCAAACATGGCATACACCATCTGAAAGAAATAATATCCAGTAGACAAACCATGAAGCAACCTTGTTTCCTGTTAATAGAAGTATTGTACTGGTTCAGAGGCCAAGCTGTCTACCGATTTTGATATACAAGCGTTTGAAGGATATATCACTGCGCATCTTTTGTGATTTCAATCAAATGTACATTGAAAAAAGGATTCGAAAACAAATCGACTCACAGTGATTTAAGCAAATCTTTACTGATGTAAAATCAGATACAGATTTACAATAGTTAAGTGAAATGCAAATGTACATCTTTAAACCAGTACTGTCAACCCAGACATGGTTATCGAGGATAATTATTCGAACATTGCATTTTCACAATGTTTTAAACTTTAAGGTCGTATCGTTCCATAAATCTATCAGTATCTTATCTGCCACGAGACAATGTATCACAAGAAATATTTGTAAAAAACATAATATTATGTAGAAGTACCCATGGAACTGTATGAGTGAACAATTATGACAGTTAGGAAATATATTATGCATCTACACCCCATTTGCAACGCAAGAACGCAAACAGACACTGGGCCATGTGGCATTTTTTCACGTATACACATCTATATATTTGCCCAAAGATGCATACCAGATCATTTACAATGATATGATGGATCGATAGCTTTATGTACCGTCCGACTGCATATGTCTGAGTTCAGAGTGCAACACTTCCATTTACATTGTTTCCCTTCCCTGGTATATAACAATTATCTTATACACATTATATTACAGATGCACCTTAAGTCAAAATGTTACAGCCTGTGATAGAATCTACAATTTAACTTCATATCACATGTACAATCATTCTTCCAGCCTACGAGAAGTATAAATGCATATAAAATCATCTTCTTCTCGTTGTCAATGATTTCTACTCTTTATTCTCATTTGACTCTGACGGACATCTTCCAGGTCTAGACATTATATTGTTCCATAAGTGCATCCTGCAGATTACAAATATTGATACCATCCCCAACGGTGCCAAACTGCA